AGGGGATGTGCTCCACGGTTTAGGGGAAGATAGGGGATGGACCTCAACCGGAGATGTTGTTGGGAGGAGATAGGGGATGGACTCCATAGATAGAGCTCATATGCTTATCTATTAATGTGTTGACAGAGCTCATATGCTTGTCATTGGAAGTGTGATAGTGCTCATATGCATATCTGTGGAAGTGATGATATAGCTTGTATGCTTATCTGTTGTTGTGTGATATAGCTAGTATGCTTATCTAATATGAAATGGGAAGTGTTTGATATGAGTTACTGTCTCATATGAGTTGCTTGGCCAGGTTCTGAGCCATGGTTATAAATGGAGAATTGAAAGGGAAAAGTGGCTTAGAAACAAAATACATTATACATAAAACACATTCAAAACTATGTAACAATAACATTCTTGTAACTATAAGTTATAATAATAAGAATAATGTTTGAGGAGTTATGCTAGAGATACTAAAAATTTTATCAAAATTTTTATCAAACGTCTCATATGGGTGTGAGACCTACACAATGTGAGTCTCATGTAGGTCTCACACCCATGTGAGATATTCGGTAGAACTTTTGATAAAATTTTTGAGGTTTCTATCATTTTTTATGTTGGAGAGCTCTAGTTTGAAAGTTTTAATGCAGCTCTAAGAACATCTCCAGCGGTAAACCAAAATTTTCACCAAATTTGAAACAAAGAAGCCAATTTTCTCAATCTGATATGGCTTGCTTCAACCGTGCATTCAAAAGGGAAGGGGCGACCGGTAAGGCTAATTTTTTTTTTTTTCTTTTAACCTGTTTGAACATTTTTGACCAGTTTGAACCTACCTATTTAAAAGGGAACCGGTCGATCGGTGGGTCAACCGACCGGACATCCGGTTGGTTGACCAGTTGGCCCACCCCAACGGTCAAACACAGTGAAATATTGAAATCTGATACGTGTTCTCAATTTGATGAAATTTTTGTTCCATTCTCATTTTGATATCAATTTGGTGAAACCATTGGAGTGAAAAAAAGTAACTGTTTCATCAAATTTCAAATCTGATACAAGGTTTGATAAACCATTAGAAATGACCTAATGTAATTTTAATGATGTGAAAAGTACTCATATAAAGGTGGAACTCAGACTCCTCTTCCTATCTCCCTACTCTCTCTCTCACATTACTAAAATTTTATTTAAAATTCTAGTATTAAAGTTATGTATGTTACTGTTCTTGGCACCCAACCCAAGTGACGGAGCTCAAAACCATTACAAATTGTGTACTTTTTTACACACTATTTAAAAGATCAACTACATGTGCATGTGCTTTTACTGTCTTTCTTTTATGTTTTTTTGTTTTTCTATTCAATTTACCTTTTTGTCTACAATGGATGTGTCCTTTCATGTGCTACATTTATATGAAATAAAAGCTTACCTATTTCATGCAATTAAATGATTTTTTTGGGGATTAATGAGCCTAATAATAATTATAATTGCAATAAAGGTAACAGAAATGTTAGTTATCACTTAAAGGTATTTCATCATTTTATTTGACTTCACATGTATTTTAATGCAATAAAAATTATATGTATATGTAAGATCAATAATATATATATATACATATATATTTGATTTATCATGTCAAATAAAAAATAAAAAGATAAAAAAATCTAATAAAATATTTTAGTGATATATAACTATAAAAAAATTGAAGTTTTGATGAAGGCGTGCTATCATCAAGACTTTCAGTTATTTTTATTGCCTTAATAGTAGTTTGCTATATTTTATTGTAATGACATTTTTTTGTTCTCTTGTGAACTCAATATTAAAAATAAAATAAAATTGAGGTAATGTAGAAATGTACCAAATTAGGTACTAATTAATCAACTTTCATTAATAAAATAACTTTTTCAAAATTTAAAGTGAAGAAAATGACAAAATTACAATTTTTATATTTATAAGGACAAAAATGACAATTACACAACAAAAAATTATTTTACAACTTATTTATCAAATACTACTCCGCTACTTAAATCTATAATCCCACAGCTATACCAAACAGGTTACAAGCTTATACTCACAGTTGTAGGTTATAATCTATAACCACTTTCCCACAACTCTACCAAACGGAGCCATTGAAGCAAAAAAAATAGAGCATTGTAAATCCCCAAAAACTCTCTCATGGCTTACATTACTTCCGCAATTAGTTAGTTAGAAAATATATCTACTAAATATTTTTGGTATCAAAGCCCAAGTTAGTAACGAACTTGAAGAAACGCTTGATCAAGTTCTATGTAAGTATACGTTTGATGAAAGATTTGTGAAGGGAAAAATACTGAGATTTATAAATACTCTTCATCAAGAGTATTTATGTATGGGATTTGTGGTTGATTGTCTTTAGTTCAACTCTCATGTGCTTGGTTTGCCTCCTGTACCCGCAAACTCCACACCAGCCAACGTTTTCTTGCACTCATTAATGCAATAATTCTGGTCATCAAACTTGGCAAAACCAACAATTCTTGCCGCACAGCCATTAATGTCATTTATGAAGATATGAATACAACATGCTTGGAAAACTTGGGCTAAGCTTGATGAGGGGACAAGCGATAAATAAGGGAAACATTTGTCACTCCAAGAAAAAGACCATTACAAACACACAATGAGAAGATGCTTCCAACATTTTCACTCCAAGAACTATCTCCGACAAACTTACCTCAGATTGCCACCAATGTTACAAACATTTGTCATGAAAATGTCTACACTAGAGTTTGTTAGAATTCAAAGATACGAATAATCCTTGACAAGTCAACTTTGCTCTAATGGAGAAATGAAGTGCCAGGTGTAAAATCTTTGGAGAACCATTGTGGGAACTTAGAAAGCAACAAAAAAGCATCTCTTTCCTCATTCCTGAACCTTACTAAAACATATGTTAAACAAAGCTATTTCAAAAATTTACACGCATAATATACAAATGTACTTGATCAAGCAACTTTATGTTTCTTCTGGAAGGACAACCTGAGTTTCTCTACATCATGTAAGAGTGAGGAATTTCCTTCGCAAGTTTCTATTAATAACTCGAATCTTTTCTCAACTTCGCCCATACTTACGGATGAACCTTCCCTTTGTCCAGGCTTCTGGTATTGAATAAAATCCAACATCATGCCCTGTTATTACATTCCACCAGAAGTGGGCAAGTATAAATACCAACAAAATGGGGCTTTCTACAAACAAAGGAGAAAATGAGAAGATGGTTATGTCCATGATGCCACACATTAACTATCTTGCATATGACTGGTTCCTCAATCATCAGAAGTTGTGTTTCCCCCTTTGATCTGATCATACAATAATATATATATATATATATACTAGTAGCTGACACACTCAATGCATGTCAATTAAAACAAGTAAAATAAAACACAATTTTTACAATATATGGTATGTCATGCGAGTGGTAAGAGCCTTGTTTATTAAACCTAAGGTCTAAGGTTCAAGTCCTACTAGTGTCAACTATCTAAATTTTTTTATTTCAAATAAGAAAATGAGGACACGTGGCATAAGGAGAAGCCAACAAAGTTTCGATACCAAGTGAATTGTTCACTTTTAATAATAGTATAGATATGTGTGTGTGTGAGAGAGAGAATATAATCTCACACTTATCAGTGGTGAAGAGTAGCTTTGACAACTCCATGGTTAAAGCCACAAATTACACTGGCAAGACCCATGAACAGGAGCCTACAAGTGAGTGTGACTTCAAATCAAATAGATGCATATGATTTCACAATTTTACAATTGTACACAAACACAGTTACTTAGCAGCATGTCACACTTACCAAATGCACACAAATACAAGCAACATGTTTTCAAAGTCAGCAGGTTATCATGCATGAAGAAAAAATCTCTCATGTGATCAGATGCATATATAGTTTAATAGTTGTTAAAAAAAAATTCATACCTCATGTTGCTGTTTACGAGAGTAATCTCGCAGGAGAGACTTGGCAAGCTTATTTCGGAGTGTTAACTTATCATCATTGCAATAGCCAAACATAAAACATGTAAGATGGTGAAGAACCAGAGTAAAAGCCACTGTTCCTCGAGTTGCAGCTCTGTCAAGGGCACCAGATACCCATGACTTCACATAAGCCTCCAAAATCTTTTCATTATCCTGTACAAAGACTGAAAATTAAACTCCGTACTTTGATACTGTGAAGTTTGTTGTCCTTGGGACATCTAACTAATGAAGTACCACATATTAGCACATGCAGAGTCGGTGCCTTTTTTTAAAACAAAAAATGTACTAGCAAGAATTAGTTTCCAGTGTTACCTCAACAGGTTCAAGGTACCCTTCAGCTTTGGCAAAACAGTTTTCCAAAGGAGGCAAAAGTTCAAGAACACGAGCATTAGATAGTGCACTCCAGGCTGCAAGGCGTACAGAAGATTCAACACAACGGTGTAGATAAATTGCAACTTGTCGACCATAAATCTCATCACCATAAGATATAGCAGCAAACTGCTCCACAAGAGTTTCCATAAACATAGAATAGCTCTCGTGTATCTCCGATTGAAACCTCAGGAATTCCACACTGTAATTTTCTCCAGTTTCTGCCAAGAATTCTTTGCTTTTACTTGACCATGATTCATCAAGAAGCTTCCCATAGAGCTCTTGCAAAGTTTCATACACATCCCTACTCTTCTCCTCTTCAAGCACGCCCATACCAACAAGTAAGATTACAGACAAACAATGCAATTTCCAAGTTATTGGTACACTCCAAATTGGTGACTGGATCTCAGTGGAAACAAATGAAGACATTGCTTCAATACCTAAAAGAAAGAAAAGTCCACCTTTAGCAACTTCAATAATATCAATGAGGTCCTCCACTGGATTTATTATGTTAGAAGTGCTAGGAAGATTAGCTTGTTTGCTGCCATTGATAGTTGAGACTGGACTGAGAAACCAATGCATGGGAAGAGGCAGTCTCTGATGAGCCCATTCTACTGACAAAGAAGTGCAGAGATCTTGACTGGTCATACTTGATGTATCCAAGTCCTCATGAATAGTATCCAGATTACCACCCTTCTTAGACATTTTCTCCCCAACACCACGACTTCCATCCACTGCTTTCTGCTTCTTCTTCTTTACTGTCAACCACCTGTTTCTGAAATGAGAAGCCAAAATCTTACTGAAAAGCTGGTAGTCCTCTTCTTTGTACTTCCACACAAATGGTTTTAATCCCTTATTAAGGCTAATAAAATGGTGAATACAGAAATCAAAATACTTTAGAACAGGGACTTGGAGCAAGGTATCCAATGCCTTATCCATTATAAATCCAAAGCTTGGTCCCACAATTAAACATACACCAAATGCAGAATTTATCCTTTGAGTAGTAAAGGTCATCTCTTCACCTGTATGCAGATCTGTAGCAGATACATTTTGGAAGATTTCAAGCAAGGGAATAAGCAATCCTACATCTGTTTGTGCCAACAAAACATTTTTAGACCAAAACCCTCCACCAACAGAACCCCAACCCAGTCCAACCCCTGGAGCTGGGCCGCCTCTGCCAAATATCTCAATTGACTGCATCAATTGCCACTCAGAAGAAATTAACTTCATGAAAATAGTTATTACACTTCTGAATTCAAGAATTGACGACTTAACTATCCCACCAGAAAGAATCAAACCTTCTCTTGACATAATGAGGTCTTGAGATGATGGAGTTAGAATCTCAGACTTAGCCAGTTGGATCAACTTATCAACAGAAACAACAACCTTAACTAAACCATGAAGGCAACAAACAGAAGCCACTGAAGTTTCATGTTCACCTTGATGTCTCAAATGACACAAATACTCAACGAAAGAGCTACCTTGCACGGGATCAAATCCATATTCTGTAGCATTTGTCATTGAAAAGCTCAGAAAACCATTCTTAATAATTTCAAGTCCAATCTTAGGGACAAACTCTGGTAGCCATGGCAAATGGCCGCCAGGCAGGCTGATTGCATCCTCTGGGATCACTCTATCTAGCACACCAGAAAGCATGTGCAGGGCAGCTGAAATCGCCCATAACAAGGAACTCATTGTTGAATACTGGATAAGAGAATTTCCCTTATTTCCGTTCTTCCACTCAAATATTTTAGAAATGTATAGATTACTCCTCAATGCTGTCCACTTTATAGCTAAATCGACCATTGGACCAACATGGACCCAGCACCAAGTCTCCATGTCTTCAGCAGCAACTTCAGATGTTTGATTATGTGAATAAAAATTTGGAAGTTTTCCACTTAGAACCCCCAAAACAAGGAATGTTTCCTTAGTGATGGCAACAAATTCACTGAGAACATTGTTTTTGACGAGTTCTTCAAATGTTGGTACACTCAACCACATGCAGAGAGCAGGAAAGAAATCTGAAAAGTAAGATAAACAATATCCATACTGAATGCAGACCTTCCAAAAGCGCAACTGTTCAACTATCAATGCTGATGAGAGTTTACAATTCTCCCTTCCCAATTTTAGCCACTGGTCAAGCGGGAATGCATATTGATACAAATGCCATGTTGCATTCCGGAAAATTCCATTTTTCATAAAATCAATACAATGCTTCTTATCGGATCGTGCCAACACCTTTTTGTTTACCCAAAAAATGAAAAACAAAGAACACTAGTGTAAGAATATGCCTTCTGTTAAATGCCAAAGTAATTGACCTGAATATTTATATATATATATATATATTAAAACATAAAGACAGATTGTTCAAAGTAAAAGCAAGAAATTGCTTACCTTCAAAAGGGTAATCGATTTTATCTTAGAAGGATTGACTTCCATTGGCTCTTTTGTTGTAAATCTGTCCACAACTGTTTGAACAAGTCTTTCACTGTTCATGATTGCATTTGCACAAGTAGGGGAATGCCTCGCTATTGCTATAAGCATGGAAATAATACATTCTTCCAAAGCTGCAGAAGGGTCTGTCTGGACCATAAAAATCAATATATCATGTAAAACTAGAGAACCAGCAACCACACAAATCTGTTAACTATTGCCACAATCATATAAGCAATCAGAGAACAGGTTAAAAGAAACATGTTTAACCCGGAAAGTCTACACAGTAACCATGTCTTCCCACATATTCAAATACTGTACTTTTAATGTTTCTTATAACAGATGTATATATTAAGACATGTAAGACACTGTAATTGAAAATGGCATGGTTAGTGCTACTTGGCACAAAACTTCCATTTATGGTTATCCAATTCCAATTTATAGATTCAAAAAGAGCTCCCCTCACCAACTAAAGAGATGCATTAGAAGAAACAATCATGTGTTTTCATGCCACTAAAACTATTTTAAAGTTCCTAAACTTTGTTTCTTTACTTTCTACAATTATTCCATGAACACACAAAGTTGAATGAAGAGGGATACATCCCGATTTCGTGCAGCCCATTATCGACAACTAATGAAAATATATACATATGTATAAATTCAAATTACTAAATGCAGAATTCATGAAATATTCCTGTGCAGTTCTTTCAAATTAATAAAGAAAACAAAAAAAATCCATCAACATCATGCTTACCTCCAAAAGATAACAAATCCTTGGAAGGATACCCATCCTTACCAAACCTGCTACAAAATCTTGTCCAGCTACAACCATATCATCCTGAATAGTATGTTCACCTTCTTCATTATTGTCATTCACAATATGCTCACCAAAAGGCAAAATATTAGAAGGCTTAGCATTGTACTTCCAAAAGCCACCCTGAAGGAACCCAACATCAATATCTGGTCTACTTCTGAATACAGGAGCGGTAAATGTGTCCTTTGAATAAGCTGCTATTTTCTGAAAGCAGAATACATCAAACTTGAATTTGTAATAATGTCGATAAAGTTAGGGGAATAAAAATCCTGACGAAAGCAAATTACCTCTGAGATGTCAAAATAGTTCTCATTGATATCGCAGCTCAATATGCACTGAATAACTTTCGCACAAGCTAAAACTACTGAATTGTGGTTATCATCAAGAGACATTCTACAAGATAAGTAAGTGTACAGTTAAAATGCAACAAGAATTTCTCTACTTAGAATTTGAAGTACATAGATGGTGACAAGAAATTGGAAAACAAATTGTAAACAAGCCTACAAAATTATTAACCGAGTTATTGAAGCTCATGCACCTATCTACGATGGAAGACACTACTCTGAACCAGAAAGAAGATAAATCACAAATGCAAGTTGGTCTAAATATCGACATTTTTTAAGCAATATGTATCATGTAAAATACTACTGTAACATATACCATCATCTCACGTGTATGCCAGCGGAACTATGAGAAGCCAAAATAGGTCAAAGATTTTGGATCCTCAAGTTTTTATGAATTTTCTTCTTTGTTACTGGGGTCGACCCCCAAAGCCATAGCGTCTCAAAACAAGCAGCATAGTAGAAGACTTTATAAATGTAGCTACTCCCTCCGTTGCATTTTGTTTGTCCATGTTTCCATTTTGATTCGTCCCAAAATGTTTGTCCACTTTCTATTTCGGGATACTAAATATTGTTAGACTTCCAAAACTACCCCCTATAAATCATTATAAACACATTTTAAAATTCAAGTAGAAGGGCAATGGTGGGAAAAATATTTCTAAATTTGAATTAAAATGTAATGATTGCATATCTTCTTAATAAGTTAGATTTCCTATAATGGACAAACAAATTGGGACAGAGGGAGTAATTGTTAGTTTTTTTTTTTAATCCTCTTGGTGTGTGATAAGAAATCACAGATCCTTTTGCTGGTTTTGATTGCTTTTTATGATTTATTTATAATTTCTATCTGTAATCAATCAGCAGTTACAGTGCATTATATGAGTTACTTTTGACCAAGGGTAATTCTATAACCAAACAGTATTCAAAAACAGCTGTACTTGAATATCATTTCCGCAAGTATTATGAATAGAGACATCAAGATAAAGACATTAGAACTCACTACCAGGTAATAAATGGTGAATAGTTGTTCAATTCAAGCTAGTTAGCATATAACCTAAATCTGAAACCAATAAATAAGCATATAATAACTATTAGATAACAAGTTTATGGATAGAATGGCACATACTAGAAGCAGAACAGTCAATTATGATAAAGGGTCATTAAAATGAATCACAGAAGCATTGAGAATTTACCTCAGAGATAAAGCAAGTTCAGGTTCTGGGCCAAGTGCATAAGCCCATACGGCAGCCCAGTCAATAAAATTGTTGGCGCCAGCGTTTTTCACATTTAACCCAACTTGGTTTTGACAAATGTTGTGTAATGCTTTATCAAGCACGGATGCAAGTAAATGCAATGCAAGAGAACGTTGGCCAGGAACCTGAAATTGGTGTTTGAACAAACAAGTTGGGGAAACATATATAGCTGTTTAAATATAGTCACTTTTGAAAAACCTACTGACAAAAAAGCAATCTAGCACCAAGATAAATGTCCACTAACCACACTTCTAGTGAGAGCTACTGCTTCTTTGACGGTGTAACCTGCAGCAGCAGGATCTCCCTCAGTTCGAAGGAAATCACGTTCAGAAACATTGTTGGAGCTATACCCACTTTGAGTAGATAAATTCCCTACAATATGATAAGTAGGGGGCAAGAATCTGTAAGAAGATGCATTGGCTACAATATGATACACACGGGGGAACAAAGGTCCTTTTATTGGAAAATAAATTACTGCGTGACAATATAGTAGTTTAAGAGTTAAGACTCAGGCTTTTTGACTGCTTGAAGATGCAAAGAGTTTGACATAAAATGCATAATTTCGTAAATGACAAACAACAGACTACCACAGAGAGAGAGAGAGAGAGAGAGGTTTCGCAAGTAATAATCAAAACCATGACAGTAAGGACGATTATCACAACAATAATCAGAATATAGTGACTTACCAGTCTTTGGTACCTCAGCAAAATTATTTTCAACAACATTACCATCCAATGAAAACCTCAATTCCCTGACAGCCTCAACTGTCTCACTCCAAGCATCCCACAAACTGCCAGAACTGGAACTCGAATTCTGCATAGCATTATAACTCAGCCCGCTCCTTGTATCTATTGAAGCCGCTGTTGTCACATCACGGGAGATATCCCTCTCAGAGAGTGGAGAACATTTTGCATCTTTGATCAACTTTTTCTCATCCTGCAGATTACCCACCTCACCTTTGGCAGCCATGTCTAAGCTGGAGACTCTTTCTTTCTTCAATTTGTGTTGTCCACGCTTTCTTAATGCCTCTATTACTGCAGGATTCATCTTCTCCAGGATCTCAGCCTGCGCTTCTGCAATCTCATCAGCTGACATTCTCTGTAACTGGGCACAATTCTCGGCATCAATTTGACTCTCAAGACTTGTGGACTCTTCCATGTTGATGGAAGTATGACTGGAAGTTTTATGCGATGTTGACACCTTTTGCTTCTCAGTATCCACTCGCCTTTGCCTTTTGGACACTTCTAACGATCCAGGGTCCATAACCTTGCCCCTTGTTTCTGCAATCACATTTTGTGAAACTTCTTCTAACAATTCGGGATCCATCGCCTTCATAGTCACATCTTCTGAATTTGCATCCTTATCTGGTGACATTTTCTGTGGCAGTCCACCATTCATGGCACCAACGCGGCTGCTTACTTGGTCGGAATTTTCAGTTAACTCATTAGTCTTCTTCTGCTTTTTCGATTCCAAAACTAAATACCTATTATTGTTGTTTTTCTGAGCCACGTAAGGATTGTCATTGGCCATTAGCTCTCTCCACCGACTCAAATCCAAACTTTTCTTCTCTTTCCTTTGAACTGGATTAGCAGAAACTACTATTGGATCAAACTCGGTCAAATCTTCATCTTCTGCATCATTCTCCTCGTCCTCGTCGTCCTCGTCCTCGTCGTCACCACCACCACCACCACCACCACCACCACTGTTTCCACTACCCATTGGAGCCCAATGCTGCAAAACCAAACTCTTTTATAACTTTATGAAGCTACCAAAAACCATCAAAACAAAAAAAACAAACACAAAAAAGATGCTCCTAATGCTTCTTTAAAAATCAAAATTGCAAAAAAATAAAAATAAAAATTTAAACTTTTTTTGTTTTTTTTATAACTTCAGTGCTCTGGTTTGCCGCAACCTCTTTTGACTTTTGGAACTTCATATTTACCCCACAACAATGTAGAATTGTTTATAATTTACTTCCTTCTTCTGTTTTTTCTGATAGATAATCTATAGCCAAAAATATCTAATTCGCATTTAATATCGATATAAGATGCACCTTTTAATTGCTGATATAAAAAATTAAAAAAAAAAATTAAAAATGTGGCTATGTTGGGGGATTTTCTAGAAGAGAAACAAAACAAATGAGCCCTTTGCAGTTTTTTCAACTACTTTATAGCCTATATTTGGGAGTTTTTTAGCCTATGTTGAGAAAAAAACCCTTTCTTTCAGTTTCTTTCTTTTTCCTTGGCTTTCTCAGCAACCATACAGAGGAGGGAGGGGCTTACAGGGCCATGAGAGCGATGACGAGCCACGGGAAAAGGAAGAACGGTTGGACGAGGGGCCGAAGTCGGCGGAATAGGCCGGTTTTGGGGCTTTTCTGAGATTCCCTTCTCGACTATGCTGCCAACTAGGTGTGAAGCATCGTCTTCTGACATTTGAAGAGAGCTCGCTCCAAAAATCTTTTGCCGCGAGGGTTTCGCAGGGGTTTTTCCTCCTCCGCCGCCGCCGCGAATCGCTTTCTCCATCAAGACTGTTTACTTCGTAGACGGCTGTAGAAGCTATTGCCGCAAGGACCGGGAAGTCACGATGATGTGAACTACACCTCTGCTGAATTTTATTACTGTGGAATATATAAGTAATCCCATTATTTCAACAAAATTACATTAACCAACATTTTTACAGTGTTTTGTTTATTTATATTTACTTTTCGGGTTGACAGGATCAATTTGGAAACTCAAAAACTTAAAAATTTTAGTTTATTTTGAATTATATTACCTCTTTTTTTATACATATTTTTTTTTAAAAAAATTAATTTTTAATCACTTTCTCAAAATAACCCTACATTTGTTTGGGAAGAAAAAAAATAACTTAATTTAAGCTAAAATTCACAAAAAGACAAAATAGGCTAAAATAGCTAATAAGACAAAATATCACATCAAACCCATAATCATTTCATTTTTTGTCTCACAAACATCACATCCAACCATAAAAAAATCCAATCATCTTCCCAAACACAAAAATTTTTAACCTACTAAAATAATCAAAAACTAAAATAGCAACTTCCCAAACGAAGCCATTATTAACTTTTGGGTTGAGACACTACATTACTCATACTTTACCAAGGCTATGCCCTCCTTTGGAAGGTTGGTTATTTCAATTAATTTTTAAATTTATTTGATTATTTTAGTTAATAAAAAATATTTAATGTGTTTGGTTTGAGTTTTTTGAATTAACTTTTTTAAAAATTGAGTTTTTTTATTTTCGTATTTTTTTGTTTTTAAGTGAATACTTTTAAAATTTTAAACATTTTTTTACTTTTTTAGATGCACCTTACTTAAATGTATTTAAAAAGTAAAAAAATTATGAAAAAATATTTTTAAAAATTAATAAATACATAAAAATATAAAAAAAATGTACTAAATTTTTTTTATATATATTTTTGGTATTTAGTGAATTTTTAAAAAGGTTTTTTTCAATTTTTTTTACTTTTAGGTATATATATGTTAGGTATGTCTAAAAGTTAAAAAAATTGCTCAAAATATTTTAAAAAATTCAGTAAAAACAAAAAAATAAGAAAAATAAGAAAGTATAATTTTTTGAAAAATGTTTTTGAAAAATGATAACCAAGCATGCTGATTTGTGTTTATGGATGATCTGTGATTTTTTTTTTTAAATTTAATAAATTATTGTGAGAGAAAAATTGATTGATTAATTGATGAATAAGACATGAGATTTTGTATTATTAATTATTTTAGTCAATGTAGTTCATAACACCACCTATGTTAACAAAAGTGGGTAAACAAGTACTAATAAATAAATAAAAAATTGATAAATATGTGATTATCATGAGATGTGGAGAAAAACGAAGGGTTTGTTTGGGAGGTTGATTGGTTTTTTTGCTTTTTGGTTTTTTTAATCTGGGGTTAAAAAATCTCGTTTATGATTGATTTTTTAACTTTTTTGACTTTTGTGAGAAAAATAATGTAATGATTATGGAATTTGATGTGATGTTTTGTCTTATTGACCTAAAAAACCTATTATGTTTTTTTATAATTATTTTAACCAAAAAAACCTCAAACCTAATTTCTCTGTTTGAGAAATTAGAATAATCTGACAATGTTGTTCAAGTGTCGTAAGTCTCTGTTTGGAATGGTTAGTTGCAAGATTATCCGATACCTAAGTAATCGTAATAAGTGCACCAAGAGTATAACTAGAATCATTGATGTTGTTTGTACCTCTTAGGCTTGAATGACTTGCTTATGTGGGCCTAATTTATGGTCATTGGGTACTCAAGAGATCACATTCACTAATTCTTTACTGTTCCATTTTGAATGAAATCATGTTCTGTGATCACAATTTTCAAAGAGTGAATAAGTCCACGATAAGTGGCCTAGATGTTGGCCTAGTTTCCCAATGTTTAAATTGTCTATCCAAATAGCTAGTTAGCTTCAAAATTCAAGTTGACACATGGTATTGCTCGATTTTTTAAAGTATTTAAGCTCGACCAATCTGTCTTGCTCCATCCCCTAGATCGTCTGTCCAACTTCTTAGCCTTAAAGCAAACTCACTTAGCGAGATAACTTTTAGGCGACGGGTTGTGGCATAGATTTTTGATTTTACCTCTCACACATAGCAATGTTATTCTTGTAGTGTAATAATAATATAAACAAATATAACTAATACACAATTATTTTTATCCATTTATATATTTTCATTGGCAATTCCATAAACGTAAAATATTAAAATTATCCATCTTCCTATTTTCCTTGTCTAACTATTGTGTGTCCCTCTATATTCTCACATTTTAGAACAAAAGGAGACCTTAAAACTATTGCATACCACCACCACCACCACCACCATCTAGCACCATCACGCATGGGCACCATATTCTCTTTCCACCCTCACCAACATCTTCAAGCTTGGCTACAACAACTCACAACTAGGGGTGTGTGCGGTGCAGTTTGGGCGAGTTGATAGTAAATTTACAAATCGAATGGCGGGTTGGCGGATTAGTAGATTGACAAATTGTGGTTTATTCTAATTAATTATCATATATTTGCATATTACATAACACCAATTTGTATAATATTTGTTAGATATATAACATAAAGTAATTTTACATAATATGTTTCATATATATAACCACTAATTTGTAATAAATTTCATATCTTAAATCTCTCTCACACTCATTTTTACATTGATATTTTATTGAAAGTTAAAAAATATATATGTATTAATTATAGCGGAGCGGAACGGTTCGGTTGACGGATTATAAATTTTAAAGTTTAAACCGAGGTTAACGGTTAGAGCGGTGCGGATAGATGCGAATCAGAACGGTTTTAGTGGATTTGGAGGTATTTTGCACAGCCCTACCCACAACCCTCATTATGGCTTTGCTCTCTGCAACTTTTAAAATTGTTAACCATGATTGTTAACCCCTAACCACCCCATTGTCACAACCTTCTTTCATAGTTACCAACCATCTCCCATTATCACAATCCCCAACTTTTACAGTCGTCAATGACTACTATAGTAGCCCCAATTATCTTTTAAGATTTTTAATTTTCTTATTTCTTTATTATTGACCATCACAAATTCCTTTACAATCAATAACCACTACAACCCATTGAATCATGCATGATCTCATTCCTTCTTATTAAAAGTTTGTCGATTAAATTTCACATCTAGTACATTTTCGTATTACAAATTGATTAACAAGAGGAGTGAAAAGCATAATTCCATTCATTTTTTTTTATTTTATTTTTTATTTTCCAAATTATGAGACCATCTCCTATAGTATTTTAATGTAGGTACACTTCCGTTTAGTGTTGAAAGATTTTTTGTGTTCCGAGACCATCTTAGCTTATAGAGATTTTTCTTTCTTCCAACAAAATTTAGTTAATATGGGCCAGTTTTGCTTTTCCTCCTAATGAAATTTTGACCAGGGTCACAGAGAGAACGACGTCATCCCAGAAGGCGACACGTCAAAAAAGACAAACCAAGGAAAGTACTACAATGAAGATAACCTCCAGGTATGGAGGGACAGGTGCCTACGGAGGGATGAAGAAGTGAAAGAACTAGCAAACAAGTTGGCGGACCTTCAGTCAGTCGTCAACTTCATGATGCAGAATAATGTTATGCAGCCACCATACCCGCTGCAAGATACGCCGATGCCAGCGACCAACACTCAGAAGGGTGGAAGAAAAACAATCCCCGAGGTCCCTCAGCATACCAGGAGCGGAAGGCATTCTCACCGGCCTTCCAGAGAAGTCGGACGGGAAAAGCCGAGGCAAGAAGAGTCCCGAAGGACACACCACATGAAGAATCCATACCCCAAAGAACATCGACATGTTCAGGGGCAAGTACTCCATTTTGACACAACCCGTGAAGAAAGACCCAAACGGACCCACCACGAGGCCGAAAGCAGTGTACCAAAAAGACTAAAATCCAAAGACAGCCGAGCTCCAGGGAGGAGCAAAGAAGACCTAAGGGACTACCTCAAAAGGAGGCAGCAGAATGCAGAAGCCGAGGTAAACTCCCCAGTAAAACCGAAGATAGCCTTCTCGGTGGAACTGGACAAATTCGAACCGCCTAAGAGATTCAGTATGCCGAGGTTTCAAATCTATGATGGTAAGTCAGATCCAAACTTTCATGTTGGGCTATACCTAAATTCAAT